ACGACACCGAGAGCTATGCATATTTGAACACATAAGACGAAACATACTTGGCACTTTTTCTGTTATATAAATACTGCATTAATGATTGGAGTTGACTCAGCTGTAAATGAATCAACCAATATCGTTTATGTCAGTTCATCCTTATTCAATATGTACGTAACACAAGCGATTCTTCGTACAAACACCCTAAAAATTTAGTGAACAGGTCATCTTGTGCAAAACGGAAACACCCGAGACGGTCGAGCAAATGAGATACAAGAACCGAAATTCACTCACATTGGATCAAAGGAGATCGCAGTGTTCCTTGACTTCTCCTGGTAATTGGCTTCGGAGCGGACTTGATTGTAGCGTTTTAGGGGCGCAGAAAACCTGCTTTTAGGGAGGATGTTTTCGGTCGTTCATTGCACCGCGCTGAATCGCCAGCTGCGACAGTACGCGATGCATGCGCCGCATCCGGCCCTAGAGAACGTCATGGCGGCGCAGCACAGCATCTTTGCCTGTACTCAGCCAGCGAGGAGCCATGCTCTTTCTGCATCCGGCGGACAGCGGTATGCAGGGGACCATTGTGTTTTTGTTTCGTGCCGAATCACGTGCGAGACAGGTACTCCTAAGTTCATTTGTGAGAATTCGGGTTTAATCGAGAAATTCAGTATTTTGGATTTTTAAATTTTTATTATTACAGTATTTTTAAAGCGTCCAAGTTATAATTTTTTTTTTTTTATTTATTTTTTTTTTTTTTAAATTAGAGAGGTCTGGGTGTTTGTCATTGTGTGACCTTGCGATGCACTTCCTTTGGAGTTTCCATCTACCTTGCGGATCCTCCAACTTTACGTTGGGGAGGGTTCCACAATAAAAAGTTCTTTGGGGGGTTGCATTGTTTTTGTCATCTTTTATGTTCTGGCTTTACGCGCCTTGTTCCCAGTCCTTTGAAGCTGGGGTTTGAAGTATTTTCATTGTCCGAAATGTTTAAACAGTTCTCAACGTATGAGGGCATTTTCAAGGTTTCTATAGAAAGGAATCACGAGGTTTACGCTTACGCAATCAGAGCTTCGTGAGTACATGAAGCGTGCATGGGTTTGAAATGTGGTACTGGTCCTACTTTAGCGCCATCATTTGACTGATTGGTCGGCCTTATCTACCATAGCACTTCGTATCGGCAGCTTGCGTGCTTGGAATTTAAACACAAGGCCACTTGTACGAAAGCAGGGGGGGCGGGGGGGGGGGGGGGGGAGGGGAGGCTACAGCGAGTTTCCGTGGTAGAGGAGAGCACCCGCTCCTAAACCTGGCTGTTACAAAGAAAACATTGAGAGTTATGCATTAATATGCAAAACCTCTGAAACTACCGTCATGTGAATTTCTTACAATCGTATAAAGCAATTTCGACCAGCAGCTGGGTGTTTCTGAGCTCTGTTCGGGCGTAAATAGGTTAGTATAAATAAGCCACTATATAGTTGGATGTTATGAAACATCTTACTTAGATGTCTTTAGATGGTGCATTTATTGTAGTAAAATTACGTGAGAATAAGTTTCCCAGAAAAAGTGCAAGAAAAAAAAATCTGGAGTCGTTTACAAAGCTCTGTAATGTGAAATTAGAGCGCGGCTCTTGAGCAGGAGGGGAGGGTATGCCCCTCCTCCTCCTTCATACCCTCGCCTCGTCCTATCCTTCTCCTCTCCCCTTCTTCTTTCCTCCTCTTCACTCCTTCTCCGTACCCTCCCCTCCTCCTCCTGCCTACAACTCCCATTCTCCTCCTCCACAGCTAAATATGGGGGGAAATGACGTCACATATTTCGAGTCACGTGACCCAAGAACAAATGCAGTTTCTACGCTAGATTTAGCGGGAAAATTCACATCACCTGACCTCAACATATCATTTAAATTTCCCCCTAAGTTTAGCGTGGTGCTTACGTCGACGGCGACGGTTACGGCGACGGCCACGCCGCTATACGCGGGAACGGGCGCCTAAGAGCTGCGCTCTAAAACATATTATTTCCTACGTGCGGGAGGAAAACTGAAGCCAACCATGGGGGGTTGACGCTGCAACTCCGATACGACACCACAGAGTACAAAAACTTGAAAGCTGCCTTCAAGTTGTGAATCTCGTTGTTCTGCAGCTTTTGAGACCCGTGGGCACCCTCACCATCGCCTTCGCAGTCTTTCGTGTTTCATTAAACACCCCGCATGTTATGCCTAACTAACATAGGGGCCTGTCAGAGTTAGCGAAAAGATTTCCCCCAAAAATTAGTTTTAGATAAAAAAAAATAATAAACACACTTGTAAAGTGTTCTTAACACCAGAGTGTCCTTATAGTACCTACTAAATCATACATTTTAAGAAGGTGAAGGAAAAAATTAATCGTAGCAGAGGGTGTCGAACGTACGATCTGCAGGAAAAACGCTTATTTCCACAGCAGCATCTTCTACGCTCCATAACCCGAGTACAAAAAAATGAAAAACGTTTACAAATATCTGTAATGTCAAATTAGATCGCAGCCCTCCTCCTCCTCTTCCCTCCTCCTCCCCCCCTCCTCCTTTCCTGCTCCTCTCCTCCTGCCGCAGTCTCATCGGGAGTTCAACAAGGATCTACCCTTGGGTCGCTGTTGTTTTTGTCGCATTGGATCCATGTCGTCAGTGTGGTTTCATCTAAAGTGCGTGTCAATTTGCAGACGGTTCCGTTGTTTGCACAAAAGTACGAACATGTGATGATGTAACCATTCTCGAGGCTAATTCTAATTGGTGCACATTGTCAAAAAAGTATTAATCGTAAAATATAATTTCAGTTTCCATTTACAAGATGACATTCTCTGTTCCACAGTGCTAAAAATAGTTCGATGAACCTCCATGTTATCCACGAGTCAAAATATCTTGCTGACATAGCCAACAGAACAGCGCACAAAAAGACAAGGACAGAGAGAAGGAACATGCATAACACGCAAGAGCTATGTTCCTTCTCTCCGTCTATCTTACAACACAAAAGCGCATGTTCCTTCTCTCTGTCCTTATTTTTGTGTGCACTGTTCTGTTCACTATGTCATCATACCAACTCGCCCTACTTACAAGAGTTCAAGAAATAACTTCAAACCTAATTTAACTTCAAACCTATGTTAGAACCAGCCCGTAGGCAAAAGCAAATCCAGAACTCCGTTTTTTTGTGTTTTTTTTTTGGTGGGGGGGATTTGTAAGGGTACTACTCTCCTATTATTTCTTGTGCACCGGGGGGTCCACCCTTGTCAAATTGCCCTCTCACAAGGGGGGAAGGGGGAGGGGGGGGGGGGCGGTCACCACCGTCGCCCCCCCCCCCCCCCCCACCCCCTTGGAATCCGCCCCTACTCGTAGGTTACTGTATTTTCAGTCTACAAGTCGCAAACCCTCATAAAGCCTTTTGTTTATGTTGGTATACAAGTTGCATCTTTGTATATGTTGTGCTTACTTATTTGTAGGGTCGGCGCGGGAAAACGGAATGATAAGCACGCATATGTGCATTGTGATTACGATATATGCACAAGCGGTAGCAGGTTTCAACACTCTCGTCAACGAATCGAACAAATAGGTACAAGTCTCACACATTTATAGAACACACATGCGAATTTTTTTTAAACAATCAGAACGCCACTCAGAGTATATAAAATACGCTATACTGTTTCTAAATCCTCCAGAATGCTTGACTTCCTCTCTCGTATATTAAAGCCTGTGCCGCTTTCCCTGAGAGAACAACATTGTTTCTCATGTTCGCTCATGTGCTGTGTGGAACCCGAATCGTTTGTTCAGTCAACCAAGCTTGAAAAGGTACAAACCAAGCTTCCACATTTCTTTGTAACAATTACGACAGGCGACTGAAAATAGCAATAGCTCAAGAGATCCTAAGATGTATGTAGTTGAGCTTTAGAAGGATATTACTTTGACTCAAAATGTTTATTAGATTGAAGGACGATTTCTTTTTTTGCGGCTCTCGCCGAATGTACGAATCCTTCATGGGAGAAGTTCGCTTCAGAATTAGTTTTTTTTTTAAGTTTTACATTTATCTGTTATTTTTGTTTGTGAACAATTTAACAATAAAACTAGTATTAAAAGAGAAATTTACCGTCACAGAGCGAATTTTATTTTCCAAAGAAGGAATCACGTTTATAAGATGGAGCAAGTTTGCTGCAGAACTGGTTTCTTTTTTCCTTTTTCGTTTGGGAACCCTTTAAAAAAATCCAGGATGGAAACTGACTGCCAGTGTCTATTTTATTCAGCACTGACCTCGTACTCTTCCAAGTCTATTAGTAACTCTGTGGTAGAACAGCCTACCAGTTGTTATGAGCTGTTGTGAAGTGTTTTACTGTAATGTGATTGTCATATTCTAAGAATTTCTGTATCTATTATTTCCTCCACTCTCAAATATATTCGCCCCCTCTTGTTGAAATGCCCGATGAAGCTGTAGGTCTTCGAGTAAATAAATGGATGCAACAGGAGATTAAGGCTAGCTGCACCGCGTTCAAGACTCGTACTGTAGATATTTCAGCTTCTCCCTTCGGTAGATCTTACACCCCAGCAAATATCTGTAAACTCTCCTAGGAATGCTGCAACTGTAAACATATATATATATATATATTGCTCTGTCCTGTTAGAAATTGTCGCACGCAGCTTTAAAGCATCACGTATGTGCCTTTATTTCAACAAAATTGTTAATCATGATATATGAAATCACTTGCGAATGCTACATAGAAAGCAATCATTTCATTATGTTCCAACATAACTGAGTTTATTAGAAAATGGCTTTTAAACGTTTGTTACAGAAACTCGAGTTAAAAACGATTAACTGAAAGCTGCCACTCCACATGTCAACGGAAAGATAAATGCGGCAGAAATCTTAGCAACGGTACGCGAATTTTTGTGTCACGGTCTTTAAATTCCTGAATAGTAAGTTTGTCTTGAGTTTTTGGCTCTAACTTTAACATTGAACCTGATAAAATTTTATTTGACCTTCCTGTAGTCTGATATACAAGAGAAATTGTCGGAAGTTTACTTGTACAAAGTATCTGGCACAAACTGAGACACAATTCTATAACCTGATTCAGGCTTTACTGGCAGCTAGAACAAACGTGAACACGTTTGGATTTTCCACAAACTCCCCAACTCTATGGGCATGGTATACTTCCATCTGGAAGCCGGCATCTTTAATAGCTTCTTCTACCACCTTTTCGGTGAGGTTCGCGTGAGCGAAATCCACGTCACCCACGGGATAGCTCTTTATACCACCCGCGCCCAGAAGGACAAGTAGACCGCCAGGTCTCGCGAGTGTTCCCACGTTGCAAACCGCCTTCCGGAAAGATTCGTGGTCTGCTGTGGCCGATTCCAGGCATCCGGAGGATATAATAACGTCGAAGGTCTGCCTGTGTTCCTCGGGGAGCACTCCGGGCTCCAGGACATCGCAGGGAATCACTTTACGAACTGCTAAGCGTGTGCGCTCGATTATTTCCAGGGCCCCCTTCCTGAGGTCGCTGGAAAGCAGAACGAAAAAGTGGAAGTAAGCTGTTATGCAAGATTGATAGCTCGCACACTGCACAGTACTGTACGTGCAGGGAAACCAGAAGTATTGCGGTTCTGGGGTTCGTTTCCTAAGTTGTCTTCAGACATGCCAGGGACTCCGAGTTTGGACAATTTTCGAGAAAGCCGGCAAGATCGCCAACAGCGGCGGTTCGTCAGCGTTACACTTGACATTAGCGCAGGCCAATCACGGCGGTCGGGGATCTCGCCAATTTTGCGACGAGTGTTCAACTTAGAGATCCAGGTTACATCTCGTCGGATATCGCTGGTACGTTCTCAGCTGTCACGCGTGCTTGCCATTTAGACGTATTGGCCTTATATGACCTTATATGTAGTAAATGACAGAAGCAAAAAGACAGAGAGGTGCCTCTAGGGCGAGCTTTCTGCCTTCGATAACGCTTCGGCATCTCCTGAGCCTCGAGTGTGCAGCCGCATCCGAAGCATGGCGGAGCACAACGAGCGTGAGCTGGAGTCCCGGCATTGGATGGAGACGGCCCGCCATTTACATACGGTCGTTGACTTTAGCGAAATTAGCTTGACGTAAACATGTAGATGATATCGTTCTAAAACGAGCATGTTGTTCACACTAAGGCGGCGCCCTGTTTTATATACCATATTGATGAGATCCAGCATATAAACACAAAATCATGAGCTGACCCTGAGAAGATGAAAAGTAGTTACACTGCAGGCTTGTCCAACCGGCCATATCACGCTATATTCTCCTTGTCATAGATCCATATTCGCTTTCTTACGAGTCAGTTGCACAACGTCCACTGAAGCAGGAAGCAAAAAGAAAGTTCCTTCAGACTCAGCTGAAAGTGAGCTGCGAAGAACCAGGAATTTCAAAACGGATTTTTCAATATAGTTTGAAAATATTTAGTTGAAGTCAACGACGTTTAACACACACTGTATTTTTAAGAAGTTGAAGAAGTAACGACTAAGTTCAAAGAGTAATGTCAACTGCCGAGTTCACGAAGACGCCATTTTAAATTGTTCATTTAAATTTAACAGTTGAAATGAGAGAAAAAAAGAGAAAAACTTGCGTGTAATGTGTCCTGAGTGTGTGATACTCGCATTATGATCTGTTATGATTGGTTGCGGGGAGCTTTGGGTGGTTTCGGATGCGTTGCACACACGGCACACTCGTGTGCTTCCCTGTTTAATCAGAATTATTGGGATAAGTTTAAATTTATTCTGGAGTGGACCGTGTGAGGAGTATGTTTTATAGAGAAGTTTCCATGGGTTCTGCTGCTTCCGAAGGTGCATGTAGCGCGTTGAGATCTGCGTTCTCTTGGATAGCCAGGAGCCCCTTGTGGTAGCTAAGGTAATCGCAAAGGGGATGAGATTTATCGTGCCCTCTACGCTATCTACTGGCTGCCATGAAAAGCAGTCACTTGATACGCCCGCTGCACTATTCACTGGTGCGTTAAGAACCTTGCCATGACGTCATGAGATACGTGGCAAGCTACGCTTCGGCAATGGGAGTCCGCTGCACTCTAAAAAACGTATGTGCGTCTACTTTCGCGCACAACACTTGGAGAACCAATCAGCGCAACTTACGGAGACAGCTCAGCGAATGACGATGCCGAAATATGTGTTTAGACCAAAAAACGCAGACTGAGTTGTGACACTAAGCAATGCAAGCGTGACGTTTTGCATTGCTTAATGTCACAACTCAGTCTGCGTTTTTTGGTCTAAACATATGGTTCGGCATCGTCATTCGCTGAGTTGCCTCCGTAAGTTGCACTGATTGGCTCCCCGAGTGTTGTGCGTGGAAGCAAACGCACTAACTTTTTTTAGAATGTGCGTGTGCCGATAGGATACTGCAGGCTTCCCTGAGTTATGCTCAGCACAGCTGCCGGCGGCTAGCATTTGCCTCCTCCTGGTGGCTTCGAGGAAAAGTATCGGGTTGAGGATCCCGCTGTCTGGGGACGGGATGCTACTGAGTCACTCAGTAAATCAACTTTGGTGCGATTAAATATTAATAGTTATAATTACGTATGATTAAGTGTGATAAACTCTCTTTTATAATGCTGTTTTCCGTTATGTTGCGCTAATCTCCGTGTGACGATGTTCGCATAAAAGTCAGCCCAAACACATTATGCGTTAAAACAAAAAACGTTTCAAAGGAGTAACACGTATGCAACTTTCCGTCTCTTTATTGATGAACGCATCAGATCGGTGGCCTCACCCAGCACGAAGAGAATGTAAGCAGTGATATAATTCTATTCATTCGCAGGAAGTTCAGGAACGTCAAAGTGCCCAAATTCGACGATGAAACCTTTCGAACAATGGTCATCACAGCAAGAGTTTTACTCATGTTCTACGCTCCATGTTATTCAGCAGCCAACACTATGTTAGACCAGGCTGTTTGAGACGTTGACCCCTACATCAAGATGCACTCATATTTTCCTGGTGACAAGAAGTAGCGTCTCACAGTGGCTGTGTGTCTCACCATAACTGATCTTACGCTAAAGACGAAGATAAAACCCAGGTAGAGTGGCCATTACAATTTTTTTTTTATCAGCAGTTATTGCTCAAAAAGAAAGACACCGAAAAAAGGTTCCGAAAAACAAAGTACAAGAGAGGCATAAAGAAGAATTTGGATGGACTACAATACAACGTGATACCAGATCGAGCAGCAATTTCCCTGTGCCATACCGCGTTTTGAAAACGACTGCAAGACATAGTGTGGTGAAGGCGATTTGATACCTGGGCCCTAACGACATGATGGAGACTGCCTAGATTAAAAACTGCTTGCAGTATTATCCCAGGGGGGATAAGTTCTCAATTCGGGGAGACGAAGGAAACAGCTTTCTTGATCGAAGACGAAGTAAACGAGAAGAAATATCGAATAAATGACTCACTGTGTACCCTACGACACATGGTGTATTTGATATGATACATTTCTGTAAAAAGGGCCTCGCAAGAAAGCAGAGCAGAAAGGCAGCGAGAATGCATCCTGTATCACATTGGATACACATATTTTCTACCACCTGTCTGAAAGAGGCTCCACTCGATGGAGCCACTTGGCGGCTTGGCGATCAGAGGCTCGGTTTCCTGATATTGGAAACGCGTGTATGAAAAGCTCAATTTTCAGGCAGCGCTGCAAGCTTCCAGAGTGTGCATCCCTTACGTTTGTAATTTGATAGAAATGTGCAGGTGCGCTGTGTTTAAAGAAAGACAAATACTGCTTTCGCCGCTTCAACAACCCGCGACGCACCAATACATCGAGTATACGATATGATACACGAAGTAATTCTTCACTTTTTGAAGCACGAAAATTGAATAAATGTTTACAAGAATTTTAATAAAGTTTTTCTAGTAGCAACCACTCCAGAATAATTTCATGCAAAAAATAGGAAGTCGTGCATTGTATAATTCATACACTAAGTACTGCGTTAATAATTTGAACACCGCTACGTACGTATAGCCTTCAACCACGGCAACCTTCTCCGCGCGGAAGGTCCAGTCGAGGGCATCTTCGTCCTTGTTGAGCCACTTCATGAGTTCCAACCTGTTGGCTTCGACTAGATCACTCATCACGATGTCGTTACATCGACTGGAGCCTACGAGAACGTTTGTGACCAATGGGCCACTGCCCAAATCCAACAGGGTGTTTCCCTGAACCAGACCTATAAAAAGCATGCCAGAGTTTCATACAGCTTTATTGCAAAATAAAATGCAGATATATAATTTATCTGTTATCGCTAAAAGAACATGCCGTGATTCGTAGTTACAATTCATGTATCCAATTATGCGTCAGTAAACACCCCACCCTGCTCAAGAAACTAGGGAGGTAAACAGCGTTCTCTGATTACAGCTCTGCCGAAAAATAACACTAAGGTTACTGCGGACTAGGGAGCCTAGATTGCACTGGTATGGCAATTCAAACCGCGGGGAGTGTTTTCAATTCAATGGCGGGCAGCTCCTCCTGCACTCTAAAAAATGTCTGTGCGTGTACATTCCCGCACAACACTCGGACAACCAATCAGCGCAACTTACGGAGGCAGCTCAGCGAATGACGATGCCGAAACATATGTTTAGACCAAAAAACGCAGTCTGAGTTGTGACATTAAGCAATGCAAGAGTGACGTTTGGCATTGTTTGATGTCACAACTCAGACTGCATTATTTGGTCTAAATATATGTTTCGGCATCGTCATTCGCTGAGCTGCTTCCGTAAGGTGCGGTGATTGGCTCTCCAAGTGTAGTGCGGGAAAGTAGACGCGCGGGCTCTTCTTAGAGTGTATAGCTCATACATTTACTTGCAACATCCAGAACACCTACGTGTTCTTCGATCACTCGTCTGGAACAACCCTGGAACATAGAGTCCATACGGAGAATGTCAGAACATAATTTACCTGACTGGAAAATACTACGAAGTGTTTCTAATTCGGGTGAAACCGTTTCACCGATATAACGACCATACTCGTCGGCGTAATTCCGTGGCAGAAATTTGTTTTTGTAAGTATCCCTCAGGGCTCGGGTTTCCTCGCTCCCCAGAGTGCCCGAACTGAAACTCCTGAAAGCGAACAATTATGGGGTTAACGCGTATCTCTCTCGACATCATAGCGACATTGAGCGGTTCGATGATTATAAAGAAACCGGCTTTTTGTCTCTTTCACAGTCAAAACACGCTCAGCGACCTCTGTGCTGTTGCGGCATGCCCACATCTAGTTTTGCTTCGGACTCTTCGATTCAGCAATATTTCGAAAGCTGGAGAAATTCGTTAGAAAAGATTTAACCCCAGCGTATACACAGCAAGAGTACACAGAGCATAGGCTTCCTATAGCAGGAAGCGACTCGCACTTCTCTCTCCCCACTCTAGCAAAGCGTGCGCTGTAGAGGAGGCGGCTCCTCTCCAATGTTGGCTCTGTTAATCCTGGTCTTCAACGCACCTGCCGCCACATGACACCGAGACATCAGGTGAGTTCCTCTGGTCACGTGAATCCCTGATGTCAAGTCCCGTGACACCGTCATGTCGTGTGACATTGACGTCACGGTTTCACGTGACGACCTCAACGACGGACGCCCAACGTCGACGTTATTTCGAGTGAAAACGGCTCTCCCGGAAAACGCGGCCGTGCAGTGTAATTAGGTGCTCCGATCAAAGGTTCCCGCAGGCCCCCAGGCCGCTAACGCGCATCTTCGTGGGTGGGCGGGCACGTGTCGTTGAGAAGTTATCAAAGCAGCCTTCCTGGGTGCTGTGCGCGTGCCTGCAGGCAACAGGCACAACATGCTTGGGAATGTGTTATCGGCGAGATGCACGTTTTGACCCTAATTTGACAGTTGCACGTGTTCCTCATGACTCGATGATTTCTTTACCTACAACACACCGGTCCTTGCACATTCGTCGTAATTGCCTTGCACATTCGTCGTACTTAGCGGGCAGCAATGAAAGGAACTGAGGCGTTCTAACCTTGATTTGTGTGAGACGATATCCTTCATACGGTGACCCCCAAGTTTCAAGGCGGCAGTAGTAACTTTAAGCATCTCCCTCAGGGCCGTCATGTTCGAAACCATGCTTGACGCGTTTATTTCTGAAAAGAAATATAATATATATGAATAAATTTTGGCCGACGCTAGGAACATGTAATTTATATCTTCCAACATCCGAACTCAAAAAACAAAAGCGCACGAAGACCACAGCTATAGTTTTGTTTACTTTCTTGTTATAAACGAATGAACATTTTATTTTCGTTCTCGCTCAAATGAGTAACAGGGTAAGAAACCTGCATTACGAAGACCTTAGCGAGCCTCGGCTGCAAGCTTTCAATTGACGATGATGGATGTGGTACTTAAATGATTATATATACTGTGTATGTTCCGAAAGAAATTTAAATAATCTGAAGACTTTTCTAATTTATATTTAGATATCAATGTTACATTAAATTATCCCTTTTCACAAAGCGGCGTGTAAGCACGCGCGTGCGTGACCTATTGTTTTACGTCACTTAGGCTCGTTACTCTTAAATATTTTACCCCTCCCGCTTTCGCTCGTAAATACTGCCGAGCTCATACGCTGTTTCGTACCTGATTCTCCGTGTATTGTTCGCGACTGCTTGGTTGTGCTACTAATTTTAAGAGAACGCTTGTTAATCGAATTTTCTGAATACTGAACAGAAAAGCGGGGCTACATCGAGCTTGTGAACAATAGACATTGTACAACCTTAAGACTGCAGGTAAGCAAAAGACGACACACACGAAAAGTCTCCTAACTTTTAAGCCTTGTGTGTGTGTGCCGTCCTTTGCTTACCTGCGGTTTCGGGTTCTGTTATTACTGGAGAATGAGGCTGATTCTCTGGTCAGATATCGGCGTATTTCGCATGCCGCGCGCGTGTCCGAGCAAGCATTGCTCTGTGACGGACCTTCAGAAGATTCGTGACTGTTCTTGCTCGGGACGTAACTTTTATCATCTCGTGCTACTTTCTTGTTCTCGAAAATGCCTGTTCATTCTCACCCCGAACGCTCAACGCTCGAACCTTCTGGGTTAAATTTTCAAGATGCCGGCTCACACTAGACAAGGGGCTGAGAGTCAAGTGCGCCAAACAACAGTTGCGGAACATCGCATCGTTAATAACGACGATGCGCTCCCTGTGCATCGGCAGCCGTACCGGGTTTCCCCAAAGGAAAGAGAGGCCATTCATGAACAAGTGCTAGAGGTGCCCAACGACGACATCATCCAGCCTTCAAGCAGCCCATGAACCTCTGCAGTCGTACTGGCGAAAGGAAGGACAGAACAGTTCAATTCTGTATGGGCTTCCGGCGGCTCAACGCGGCGACGGAGAAAGACGTGTGTCCGCTCCCCAGCATCGACGACACTCTGGACCGCCTGCGACATTCCCTGTACTTCTCGTCGATGCACCTGAAGAGTGGCTACTGGCAGATCGAAGTCGACAAACTTCGTCACACCGGATGGACTGCCCTTTGGACTGTGCACGGCGCCGGAAGCTTTCCACGTGTCATGGATGCCGTACTGGCAGGCCTCAATTGACAGAGCTGTCTTGTGTATCTCGACGTCGTCATGGTATTCTGGGCCAACTTCGAAGGGCACTTGCGACGCCTTCGGGCTGTTCTTCAAGCAATGAGGACCGCTGGACTCACTTTCAACCCAACGAAGACATTCGACGAGCTAAAGCGATGACTCCAGTCTGCACCTATTCTTGGCCACTTGACCAATCAGCCGAAACAGAAGTTCACACGAATACCAGCAATAGAGGAATTGACGCGGCACTGGTCCAACGACAAAAGGGTACAGAACGTGTGATCGCCTACGTTAGTCGGATGTTGTCGAACGTAGAACAAAATTACTCGACGACCGTGAAGGAATGTCTTGCCGTCGTCTGGGCTACCGCAAAAGTCCGCCCGCATTTATACGGGAGCCCTCTTCGAGTGGTCACCAACCACCACTCGCTATGCCGGTTACCGAGCCTGACTCGACAAGGTAACACGCAGTTCCCTATCTAGTGCGAGTCGGAATCTCCAAACTTCGGCCCAGAAGGTTCGAGCGTCGAGCGTTCAGAGTAAAAATAAACCTTCTAGAACAAGAAAGTAGGACAAAATGACAAAAAATACATCCCGAGCAAGAGCAGACACGAATTTTCTAGGAGTCCGTCTCCGAGCGTTGCTTCTTGGACCTGCGCGTGGCAATATTACTTCTTTCGGAGACAACTGCTGCTTCAGCAGACTATACCTTTCAAGACATTTTCTGGCAGTTCATTCGTAGTTCTAAGTGCTCCAGACATAAAAACTGCTTACTGTTAACAATTTTTAAAAAGATCAAGAAACAATTTATAACACAGTATCTCGCTCTAGACATTCGTAGACTTTTGCTATCACTGCCCTTCGGTAGCAATCCAGCCATTTCCGCAAAAATAAAAGAGGCTCAGGAAAAATTTTAAAATATAATTACAAAGCTATATAATTTCAATACCACTAAGTAGAACGTTTGAATTTCTTTTCCACGTAGGAATGTTCAGGTGGCTTACTAGTGCAACTTAATGTCTAAAAACCTCAATAATTCGTTTTTTTATGGTGCGTGGGCTAACACAACCCATCAATTAAGAACTAAGAACATTTAAATATTTAATTTTAGAACTCTGTGGATTGTATTAGCGCGGTATTAATTAGTGGATTGAGATAACTCAGCCACATGTGACTCAGGCAACATCGCCCTTTGTCAACTCACTTATCCAATAAACCCGCGCTCACACTGCTCGTACATCATACAAAAGACCGTCTGCAAACACGATTCACCGCAATATTCCTGGTTCGAATGCCGCGTGCCAAGATTTCTTCTTGAACTCATTGCCATGCGCGGCATTCGAAGCACGAATCCTGCGGTGACTCGCATTGAAATCACCATGCCGACTGTCTTTCGTATGATGCATTATCAGTGCCAGCCGGCTTTAAGACACGCGATCCTTTGCGCATTTACCCAAAAAAAAAGAACAAATTATATGTATAAGCAAAAGGATCGAAATAGTCAAATTTATGCGATACAAAACAGAACTTCGCTTACATTGGATCAAGTAAGCTCGCGGTGTCCCAGGTTTCGACGACGAGTTGGTTTCAGTACGGGTTCAAGAGTCGGGATTTGGGTGGGAAGACAAGCTGTTATATCGAGGATTCATCCGCTCATTCACATCACTGCGCAGTGCCACCTGCATCAAAACACGAGGCGGATGTCCCCTCTGGCGGTTGGAAAAGTTATAACGGCGTAGCACTGAGACGCCATGTTCTCAATACATCTGGCGTGCAGCTGTATTACAGTGTACTAGAATACTTGGGTAGTGTTGGGACCGGAAGGGCTCGCCTGAAGCGCGTGGTATTGATCGCGACAGGTGTCGACACCGGCGCCTTATCTAGAAGGTGTGCACATGCGTGGCTGCACGCGCGAAAATATGAATCTTTGGTGCCGCTTTGGTGGAGTGCACAGAGGATTTCTGGTACAGCTACGACCTGTCAACGGTCGTACCGCGGCATCAATTACGCTGCGGCACTATCGTTAGCAACATGATACTTCAGTGTATTGGACGGTACAAGCTACATTACCTTCCTTTACATAAAAACAATTGCGACTTTAAAGAAGCAGATTGCAAGTTGTTTCAGCGTAGAATTAGCTGCGACTTTCAGTTTGTCGGATGGTGAGCATTTTAAATGATATGCCCATTTCCGTGGTCGCAAAGGCCGAACATTAGATGTTTGAAAAAGATATCTAAAACTCGGAAGCAGTTTTTTTTTTCTTATTTTATAATGGAACAAAAAGGCACATACAAAAGTATGAGATTATTTTAGCGTGTTTTTAATACACCAGGTTAACCTCTCTGTCTTCTTTTCTGTTCGTCTTTTTCTTGACCTTAATCAGCAGGCTTCCCTTGTCACTCAGTTTTGTGTTCATTTATGCGACGAAGCACCCAAGCGACGGTCGCAAAGCGGAGAGAATCTTTTATTTCTTCGTGGCTGCCACGACCATCCGAGGACCACCCGACGTTCACTTGTAAGAAATGGCTTATAAGCAGTGACAATTTTTATCACGTGTTTTAACATTAAACTTAAGTCCAAAAACTGAGACAACGTGGGCTGAACAAGTAATGCTTTATAAGATTGAAAAAAACAAGCAACAATCTCACACCATTTTGAGCAGAAAACATGAGCACACGTAGATCAGGCAAGGAAAAAGTTGTAATAGTTTACCGCACGGCATTGAAATAATGGTTACAATGTGCAGCGCATACATGGTTACAATATGCAGCGCATTATCCTCTTGAGGGTAAACCATCTGAAACCCACAAGCTCATAACAATACATTTAACCGACAGCTGCTTTTTGACAAAAAAAGGCAGGTCTCGCCTGAACTGGGTATTCCACAGGGGGCGTATCTGGTTCATGCAGACATACAGGGTGTTTTTGTTTTATTATTTACATAACTTTACGTATTTTACAAAAAAAAAAAAAAAAAGAATGTGGCAGATATGTGGATGCCGTCTTTCGTTATATCTGTAGGGCTCGGTGGACAATAAATGGGTGAATAACCGTTTGCAATGTTTAATAATTAACCAAAATCTGTTAGGTGACTTGTTTATAACGGCTTAATTGGCCATGGTGCAATTGCAGTTTTAAAAGGAGTCATTATTAAAGGCAAACACAATTCCGATAATTCGCGAAAAGGCAACGAGGTTCGCAAAATTTATCGTAAAACTTTGCCTTTCTTCTATTGATTCAGAAACCGCGCTATGAAAATAATACGTAGAATTTTGACTTAAGGCCTGTTCACACATACAGCGGAGCGCTAAGTTAGCGCTACGTGAGCGCTCCAAGGAGCACTCATGTGGCGCTTCCTAGTGCGTGACTTAGTTCTAACATAGCGCGCGATTAGCGCTTCTGTAGCGCCTTGTTAGCGCTCCAGTATAGCGCCTTGTTAGCGCTTCAGTAGCGCTTCTTGTACCGCGGTGCTGCGGATTAGCGCGTGCACTGCGGTTCCGGTTCCTGTGGTTGGGTGTGCATCAGCAGCACCATGACGG